GGGGAGGGGGGGGGCGCGGCGGGAGGCTTTTTTGCCTGGGGCGGCAAAAAAGCCAGAGCCGGCCCTGGTACTATATACTTCCACAGATATTTCACTTCTCCAACTCTGGAGTCCAAGTATTTCTAACATGCCCATCATTGCCGAATTCAGCTGTCAGACTGTGTAAATTCACATTAATGTTTTAAAAAGTAAGTTGGTGTGTGATGAAACTTGACAAAGAATCAAGTTCCCACAGGAGGACAAAATACCGCTACCTGCCAAGTCAGAAGGATTTTCCCCTTGCTAGCTGCTTCTTGTGTCATTTACCACCAGCCTTTTCTGCTGTACTCCCAAGGTGTCTGTATTGCAATGGGGAGCCGCAGAGCAGTAGAATGGGACACAACAGTACAGCACCCTTTAGGGTCCACAGGAGTGGGAAACTTTGACTTGAAATTCAAGGGTGGGGGCGAGCTAACATTCCAATGAAAACGGGGGTATCAGGTTCCAAGTGCAGCACCCCCCTCAGAGCTGGGAGCATTGGATGGGTTGTAGCAGGGGGTGGAAGACAGAAAAATCTCAGAAAGAGAAAATAAATAGGTGGCCACATCCCCTTGACGTGACTTCACTTTCATTGCTAATGGGAAGGAAGGAAGTAATTCTGTTTTACACTGAGTACCCCTGCCACACATGCGTTACTGAGCTGGCATGTGTCAAATCAATGGAGACCAACAAAAGGGCTTTTCGGTGAGGAGGATGAAAAAAAGAAATCGGTGCTCCCAAAGGAAATATGGCACAGATTTTAAAAAGCACCTCACATTTTAGAGGACCTCCAATGAATTAGTTTATTCGAGTGCAATGGTGCATTTGGCTGCAGCTCTGATACCAAGCTAAAAACCAGCCACAATACACTAATGGCAACAGCTGCTGTGGTTACTCCCTTAAACAACCTCTTGCCTTACCAATACTAAACAACTGTACAAATTCAGCATGAAATGATGCAGGGGTTGAAAAATGGGCCAAACTTCTACAGGGCTAGCAGATCACAGAAAAACCAGTAAGAGTCCTTTTTGTATTACTTGCAAAGGGCTTACATACATCACAACAGCGAGTGGTGAAACTTTAGCAGCTGTTTTTTTTGTTTTTTTATTAAAGTATTTGACAATTTTTGCATAGATCTTTTAACTAGAACTGACTGTTTTGTGGCTCTATTTGTTTCTAGTGTACTGGATCCAATACCTTTATAGTCAACAATGACTTTGTAGTTAGAGTAGTAACCTTGGGGCAGGGCTAGTTTTCTTAACACTGTGATTATACTCCCTGTAACACCACCTCCCCAGGAATAACAACAACAACAACAACAACAAAAATGTGGACAAGCGCATAACTATGACATGATACAACAATTGCTTTCTTTACCGCTACATAAAACAGGGCTCGCGGGAATATCATTTTAAACGGTTTTCACAGGCTGACTTTCAGGCCTGTAAAGTATACCTCTACAATTTATAGGGAAAATGTCTTCATTTTTAAATGTATTATTATTGGGCTGTGTGTCTGTCCCAGAATACATTGGGAAGCAGGACCAAGATTTTCAGAAAGAGGAGCCCAGCTCTGGGCTCCTAAATCTATATTTAGGCACCTAAGTAAGTAGCCTGAAATTCTGGCCATATATTTAGGTGCTTAAATTGAATTAGGTGCTAAATGAATTGAGGAGCCTAAAGTTAGACTCCTGTTTCCATAAAATCTTGGTCCTGCTGCCCAATGTTTTCTGGGAGAGAAGGCTAAGTTTCTCAGGCCCAAGACCCCATGGTCACTGCTGGTGTACCATTCCATGTGTTGTCCAGTTTTCAGACGCCGCATCATCCAGTGAAAAACGAGCTCATAATGACAACAATTATTAATTTGTATTGGGAAGCCAAGAAAATGTTACTCCTCATTTATCCATTCTTTGGCTTTAAGCATTCAATAACTTTCCTGCCGGGGAATGTATTTCCCCCCCCTCTATATTCTGTGGGTTACATTGTTATTTGTTAATATATACACGTATAGTGGCACACTGTTTACCTCAATCTGCAGCTTCAGGCCTTTGTAGAGCTTCCCAGACTACCCTCCTCTAGGAATTCATGAATATATAACTGGGAGGTTTCTAGTAGCAGAAAGCATGTACACCTCTACCCCGATATAACGCTGTCCTTGGGAGCCAAAAAAATCTTACCGCGTTATAGGTGAAACCGCGTTATATCGAACTTGCTTTGATCCGCCGGAGTGCGCAGCCCCGCCCCCCCAGAGCACTGCTTTACCGTGTTATATCCGAATTCATGTTATAGTGGGTTGCATTATATTGGGGTACAGGTGTAAGATGGCTACCTTTACATCTGCTATTGTGTGGCCAGGGAGGTTGAAGTGTTCTCCTACAGGTTTTTGTATATTGCCATTCCTGATATCTGACTTGTGAGGCAGGCCAGTCCTCGCCCACAGACAACCCGCCAACCTTAAGCATATTCTCACCAGCAACCACGCACCGCACCATAACAACTCTAACTCAGGAACCAACCCATGCAACAAACCTCGATGCCAACTCTGCCCACATATCTACACCAGC